GAAAGAAGGAAGGAAGGAAACAGAGAGAGAGAGAGAGAGAGGGAGGGAAAGAAAGAAAGAGAAAAATGATCAGTTGTGATATAGAGAGAGAGAGAGAGAGAGAACTCCTGCTGAAACAATAAAGCTGAAAAAAATACACAGAAAGAGAGAGAGAGAGAGAGAGATGGCAATCATTGCAGGGCTATGATCCTTGAGAGAAAGGAAGCAAAACTCCACATTCATCCTGGTTTTTTCTGTGAATATTTTTCAATCTGCTGTACAGGAAAAAACATTCCAAGGAGAGATGGGAAGAAACAGGGGTAGGAGTTAAGGGGTGCTAAGGCCACAGAGAGAGAGAGAGAGAGAGGGGAGAATAATAGACAATAGGGAACCAGTGGGAAAATATCCAGAGAGAGAGAGAGAGAGAGCAGGGATAAATCCTGAGAACTGAATCATTAGACAATTTTGTAGAGAGAGAGAGAGAGAGAGTGGTTAGCCTGCTACACACCTAGACTATATGGTATAGCCTATTGCTCCCAGGCTACACAGCTGTACAGCATGTAACTATACTGAATACTGTAGGCAACTGTAATGCAACAGTAATTTAACGATTTGCATATTGAAACATATCTAAAATAGAAAATGTACAGTAAGAGAGAGAGAGAGAGAGAGAAAATGGTACAGCTATATAGGGCACTTACCATGAATGGAGCTTGCAAGCCCAGAAGTTGCTCTAGTTGAATCAGTAAATGAGTGGTGAGTAAATGTGAAGGCAGAGAGAGAGAGAGAGAGAGCTATAGACTTTATAAATGCTATACACTTAGGCTACATTAGAAGAGAGAGAGAGAGAGAGAGTTCTTCAAAAATAAATGTTAGCTTACTGTAACTTTTTACTTAGAGAGAGAGAGAGAGAGAGACTTTTTGACTCTTTTGTAATAACACTTAGCTTAAAACACATCATGTAGCTATCATGTAGCTATAGAAAATTATTTTCTCTTTATATTCTTATTCTATAAGCAGAGAGAGAGAGAGAGAGAGTTAATTTATTTTTTACTTTTTAAACTTCTTTCTTAAAAACTAAGATGCAAACACACACATTAGCCTAGGCCTACACAGGGCCAAGACTGTCAATATCACTGTAGAGAGAGAGAGAGAGAGAGCCCACTGGAAGTTCTTCAGGGACAATAACACACATGGAGCTAGAGAGAGAGAGAGAGAGAGTGTCTTCTTCTGGAACACCTCCTGAAGAACCTGCATGAGGCTGTTTTACAGCTACCTTTTTTTAATACAAGTAGAAGGAGCACACTCTAAAATAACAGTAAAAAGTATATTATAATAAATACATAAACAAGTAACATAGTCATTTATCATCATTACAAAGTATTATGTACTGTACATAATTGTATGTGCTATACTTTTATACAATTGGCAGCACAGTAGATTTGAGAGAGAGAGAGAGAGAGAGAACAGATGAGTAATGTGTTATGATATTATGACAGCCATGACATTACTAGATGATACGAATTTTTCAGCTCTATTATAATCTTATGGGACCACCACTGTCATTGACCAAAACACTTTATGCAGTGCATGACTGTATATAATTTCTCTCAGATCCTTGGCCAAATCCAAAGTTGCACAATTGCAGGGTGAAACTGTGGGAAGCCTCTTAAAAATTCTTGCTAAGAGGTTGATAATCAAGCAGAAATACCTGAATTCACATATTAATGAGGAGACATTGTGAGACCTTAGAGAGAGAGAGAGAGAGAGGAGACCCCAGAAAGCTCTCACCCTAGAATAGGGACAACTCAAGAGAGAGAGAGAGAGAGAGAAATAGGTCTGACCTAGCAAGGCCTAAAACCAAGACTTGACAGGATCAGAGTGGCTCTCTGGTAATTTAACGTAATCCAGAACCTCTATAATCTATTATCCAAGAGAGAGAGAGAGAGAGAGGAATTACCAGACATTTAAAGAAACAGGAAAAGGATACCAAATTTTTTTTAACGGTCAATGCAGACCCAGAGATTATCATTATTGATATGTTAAAGAAAGTAGAGAAAAGATAAACATAATGTATGACAAAATGAGGCTTTTCCATAAAAAATAAGAATTTTTTAGAGAGAGAGAGAGAGAGAGATCAATCACCATGTGGGGAAGCAGAAGGAATCCAAGATGGAAGAGAGAGAGAGAGAGAGAGAACTGACTACAATAAATAAATCAAATGAAATGAATCACATAAGAGAGAGAGAGAGAGAGAGGAAAAAAAGAATATGGCTGAAGTAACTTTGAAAAATAGTTTAGAGAGAGAGAGAGAGAGAGAATTAAGCAAATAAATACATTATAGATAATGAGAATCCAGTAGAGAGAGAGAGAGAGAGAGAGGTTATAAAAAAGGAAAGGAAGAAGGCTAGAATGAAACTTAGAGAGAGAGAGAGAGAGAGGAAATACAGAAATAAATATAGGTGTGTGCATATGTAAGTTAGTATACACACACAGATTTCCTAGCTCTGTCTGCTGAGAAGCTTTAGAAGAAGTAACACCCCAGAGAGAGAGAGAGAGAGAGATATGGTTTGGCTCTGTATCCCCACCAAATCTCATGTTACAATGCAATCTCCCGAGTTGGAAGTGGACCCTGGTGGGAGGCAATTGGATCATGGTTTCTCATAGAGAGAGAGAGAGAGAGAGCCTTGGTACTGTCCTCATGATAGTGAGTTCTCATGATATCTAGAGAGAGAGAGAGAGAGAGCACCTCCTCCCTCTCTCTCTTTCTCTCTCTCTCCTGCTCTCAGAGAGAGAGAGAGAGAGAGTACCCTTTGCCTTCTGTGATGATTGGAAGCTTCCTGAGGCCAGAGAGAGAGAGAGAGAGAGTATGCTTCCTGTACAGCCTGCAGAACCATGAGCCAACTAAGAGAGAGAGAGAGAGAGAGAGACCTAGTGTCAGATATTTCTTTATAGCAATGCAAGAATGAACTGATACAACAAGTAATACCCAAATTTTGTTTTTTAAACTACCATCAGTGTACTAGACTAGAGAGAGAGAGAGAGAGAGAGAAGGAACCATGGCTTATTGAAGAGGTGATTGATTTGAGACTGAGAGAAAATACAAGTTTATCCTGGAACAAATTGTGATGTCAGAAAATGCTCAGAGAGGTTAGAGAGAGAGAGAGAGAGAGCAGGAGTTAACCTAAAAGAGCTCCTACCAAAGTTATTTGAGAGAGAGAGAGAGAGAGAGAGGTATTGGATTATAAACCAAGGAATAAGATAAATATTGTTGGAGAGAGAGAGAGAGAGAGAGATAACTGAATAAATAAATAAATGGAGTAGAAGAGATAATCTAGAGAGAGAGAGAGAGAGAGTTAATAAATGTAGAAGCAATGAGGGAAATAGAAAATCACTATTAGAATACCACAATAATAATTTCTGCAAGCATCATTGACTAATGGATGCTAAAATTAGTAAGAGAGAGAGAGAGAGAGAGCACAATATTTGTATCATCTCCAAATATCCCCCCAAGAAATAAGAGAGAGAGAGAGAGAGAGGAACAATCACTTTAAAGTGGAGAAATCTGGGAAGTATCATCAGAGAGAGAGAGAGAGAGAGAACATCACCAGTAATAAGACAGCTCATCCTCATTTATTCTCTGATATGAGAAGCACATATCATCTCTGTGTAATTCTTTTCAATAATATATAACTTCAACCTAGAGAGAGAGAGAGAGAG